TTAAAAGAAGTCATAAATCGTAGACAGTCAAATTCAGCTGATGAATTTGCAGAAAAAATGCGTACTGCCGCTGTAATGCTTGCTCAATTAAACGCAACGCAACAATCGCGAGGGTCTTCTACTGGAGAACCAATTCAAAGGCCAAAAGCAAATACAGAGGCAATCCGCCAAAAGATTTTTAATGAAATGATGGTTTTGGAAGAGGAAAGGATATTGAAATTGAAAACTCATGGAATGATCAGTGGAGTTGGTGCTAACGGAGGTGAAGGTGGTGGTGGTGAAATGCTAGAAGATGAAAAACGCGTTTTGAGTGCTGTAAACAGAGATGATCCAAGTGGTAATAGATCAAAAATTAATTTTGGGAAATATCAATAATATATATATATACAAGCATATATCGATTAAAATTAAATTATTTTATACAAATTAAATAGCCGCTGTATTTCGAGAAGATTGGAATACTAAGAGAGAACGTATTCGTAAGGCATCTCCTTTTGGTAATCATCCTAACTGGCGTCTTTTTTCTGTTATTGTTAAAACAGGAGCAGATTTGAGACAAGAACAATTAGCATGTCAGTTAATCAAGGAAATGGAAAGAATATGGCAAAAAGACCATGTTAATGTGTGGGTTAAATAGTAAGTATTATCATTTTTTGGTATTGTAATATATATTATATTTGATTGGTTATTTGTTTACTTATTAAATTTATATTTTTTTTTTATTCCTTAGTTATCGAGTTTTAGTTACTTCTGATCATTCTGGTTTAATTGAAACAATACAAAATTCTATTTCGATCCATTCAATTAAAAAAGATGCTTATGCTAAAAGATTAAACGAAAAAGGATTTGTATTCACACTATTTGATTATTTCGTCAAGGTAACCATCTATCATTAAATATTATTTTGTTTATAAATTGTTCACCCTTATTTATCTTTGATTTCTAGACATATGGAGATGTGACCTCTGAAGCTTTTTTGCGTGCTCAAGATAATTTTATGAGAAGTTTGGCCGCAATTGCTTTTTTTGAATTGATCGTTCCTGAGGAGAGATACTATTTTGGTAAGCCAATAATAGTATATATGAAATCCTTTGGTTTAATTAAATCCAGGAATGAATATCCTTGTATTAGCGAACTGACAGTTTGTGGATGCCAAAGTCGACCAGTTCAATCCTACAAATTATGTTTAAAACAACAACAACACCTACTCCATAGTCGCAAAGTACAACAAAAAAAACGACGTGACAATTTAAATTTATTAATAATATTCAGTAGTCTTCTTCATTGTATGTATGAATTTAATTATTATTTGATTAAAAGAATGTAAAAAGAGAATGACAAATTTTTTTCGTTATTTTTTCGATTTTAAAAACTTCAGATGGTTTATTTATAATTTGTTAACGTTATTTTAATAATTTGCTTTAAATAATAAATCTACAATATTAAAATTCATTCTATTAACTTTGGTACATAATAAATAATATTATATATATTATGATTAGTAATAGAGGGTTTGCAAATAAATATATATAGTTGATAATTAAGAATTAAACGTTTTTCCTTTAATATATTTACAAAAGACGGATGTTCTTGGATCTTGGTCTGATATTTTTCTTACTAGTCATTGAAATTATGATATCAATGCTGCTCAAGACGCAAATTTTATGTAATAAATTATATGAGGGACAACATTGAATATGTCGAATATGGCTATTCTATAAAACCTCAGGATTCTCATTCAGCTATTGCTATCAAGATTGCTTTCAACTTCTCATTCCACTTTATTACCATTTCCAAGAACCTATGCACCTGCACAAACCATCAACACCAGTCAATATATACTGGACAACACTTCTTCAATACACTCTCAATATCAAAAAGATCCGATGGGAGTCCTCCTAGTTAGGGAGATTTAATGAAATAGTTGGTGATTTGTTTAAATCCTCTTTCCAAAGAAAATGCCAACTAGCATTTGATAAGCATCGAAATGAATTTAATTTTGGAAATGTATTTGTTTGGCTATTTCTTTCATCCACAATTTAGAGGTGGAATATTATGATTAAATCTGATCGAATAAATATTCAATTTAGACAAAAAATTGCGAATAATATGTAAAATAGTAGTTTGCATTTGGAAAGTTCTAGGTGCCGGTCAAAAAAAATCTTGATAAACAATTACTTTTGGAGGAAGTATCGAAACATCCTTGGATTTTAAATCATAATCCATTGCTGCTGCTGTTTCCGCCTAAATTTCCCTATTTAAGTTGCAGAACTAACAAAAGATGATTTAGAGATTTATTTTTATTTGCAACTTTTAAATTAAATAATTCCATAGAATTATAGATATATTAATGAATCATAAAAATAAATAATAATGCGATTTTTACATAATCTATACATAATAAAAAAAACCCCCATTAACGTTCCATACATTCTTTCACGCATATTTATGTGTATATGGGATTTCAAACAATAACATATATTTTATAAGATTCCATTAGAATAGTATTGAAAAGTGTCATATAATCGTGTAAATACATTACAACAACTTGACATAATCAACTTTTCAACAAAATCGTCAAATTGCGGTTGAGTAAGTGTTAATTGAAATCGATCTTTAAGATGAGAAGAAGTTGCTTCTCCGGAGAGAAAACATGGAAGTTTCGAATCTAAATATTTAATATTTTTTAATAGTTAATATCAAATTGATACTATTAATTTGATAGAATCATGCTGAAATTTTTTGTCTTGGAAATCTGAATATCTTCCTGAAAAGGGAATCCGATTTCCTTGCAATAAAAACTTTCAGCACATGTATAATTTATTTTATTACCTTTAGACGTCATTTCAACCAACGAGACAATGTTATCAGCATGCTTTCTTAACACATTAAATGCTTGTTTTAATAATGACTTGAATTCTAAAAACTTTTCACTGTTTAAACCACCCAAAATACCAGAATAATCCTGAGACAACTTAAATGGTGCCAATTCAAATCCAACAGAACCAGGTGAATTTGAAAGCATAAATCCAAATTCAATGTCGAAGATTTAT